CCTCCAGGTTCGCTTGCCGGCGTCGCCGTGCTGCTGCTGCTTCGCGAGCTCTCCGCACAGGGTCCGCCTGCCGGCGTCGCCGTGCTGCTGCTGTTTCGCGAGCCCTCCGCAGAGGGTCCGCTTGCCGACGTCGACGTGCTGCAGCAGCTCTACGAGCCCTCAACTCCGCTTGATGTTGAGCCGCCTTTTCATCCATAGCGGGTGCGACCATCCGTGGCTGAAGAAAGAAAGAGAGCACGCGTTGGGAGCGAGCGCTTATGTAGCCCTTGGGGCACCTCGGCACTCCTGGCGGGCTCAATGCAAAACCAGAGCAAGCATCTGGAGCAAGCGCTGGCACCACAGTGGCCCCAGCAGACTCCGAGCATACCAAGACTACGAAAAACAGAGGATGGAGGGACAAGACTCAACTCTAAGGCACTCCACCCATAAAACGTGCTGATTACAGAGCCTCGAAATCGTGTCAGTACTCCCTTAATGTGGAAGACCTCTATCACTTGGCAAGTATGTCTTTACAATATCTCAGCAATGGCAAAAACAAGTGAGCAGGCACACATGTTGCAATGTGATGCAAGCCGCAATGTACTGGGATTCTTGAGCCAATGACAGTGCTCTGTCAAGGGCACATTAGTGCATTGGACATTCTGCCTTATGTAAGACCTCCAACAAGAAAATGTAATCTAGTACGTAATACCAGATTACGATTACTTGTGGTAGGTGATACGCATTGTTTTTGGTTGTTGTTGTGTTTAAACTTTCTAAACCTTCTGCGCATGCTGACACAGTTCTTGATGATGATTATATGTGGGGTTTAAAGGGACACTAATGTCAAATAACAATTTACATCAGAGTGAAAGCTCAATGTATGGCAACACCTAAAACGACAATATTATCAACAACAGTGCCCTACTTACCGAGAAATTAACGTAAATGCACAACAACACACGCGCCACAGTAAAACATTTTCAAAATGATCCCGATGACAACAGACGGACCGCCTACTATTAATCACTAGTAATCGATCTAACTGCACTAAATAAAGAACCTTTCGTGCATCAAGAGACGCAATAAAATGCTGCTTGTTCGTTTCTGTTTGATTCATTGAAAAAAAGAACCGCCGGATGTTACAATGGGGAATGGCGCAAGTGGTTCAAGAATTCAATTTTCACGTGGTTACACGGGACAAGTGGTGCCATTTAGCTGGGCGCAGTCAAAACGAATGCGCCTGCAATTTTGAAGCCAATGGCGGAAAATTGATCCATGGCCGTTGTTGCTGCTGTGGCGCCCACTGCTTTCAGTCTGCTGCGACAAGCGCAGTAAAGCCGGGAAACATTGTGCATGGCAGCAGTGACATGAGTCGGTCCGCTTCTTGAGGTGGGTAATTTGAAGTGTGCTAACGAGATGCGGAGCACTAAAACGTGATTTTCTTTCAAAATAGGCCCTTCCTTGGCACAAAAGTAACACTACGAGGCTTCTGGACCGCCATTTCAACAATCAACTTCTACTTAATAGTTGACTTTAGTGTCCCTTTAACGTCACAAAAGCACCATACGATTACGAGAGATGCCGTAGTGGAGGGCTCCGGAAATTTCGACCACCTGGAATTCTTTAATGTGCACCCTAATCTGAGTGCACGGGCCTACAGCATTTTCGCCTTCATCGAAAATGCAGCCGCCGCAGCCAGGATTTGATCCCGCAACCTGCAGGTTGGCAGCAGAGTACGTTAGCCACTAGACCACCGCGGCAGGGTGCTGACACAGTTGTTGCTCTAGCCTTTATGTCAGACTTCACATAAATTTTTCTAATTGAGTGACAGCTCTCATTAGTGTACCTTCTGTCTTATCTCTCATCATTTCTGTGCTGTAACAAACATGTTCTTTTTTTAACTCACAGCATATGTCCATCGGTAACATAGTACACTTTGCATTAACTGATGAATGTTATGTGCGCCATGGCTCATTTACACTGCAGGCAATGCACAGTAGTTTAAACTTTCCACTGGCATGTGCTATAGACGATGGTTCTGAGCATCAGTGCCGTTCAACAAAGCTGAATTGCAAACAGGATGAGGGTAAGTGCACGCCTATAAAGCTCACCTCTAGTTGTTGGCAGCCTAACAATAAACATAAGCTCCACCCACAAAGCCGCATTGCCCTTATTTTGCATGCCTCCGCGCAACAAAGAAAGTAGATCCCAAACAATGGCAATAATTCTCTCGCATACAACCATTATCTTGCAATAGTTCATTGATATCGAAATAAAGAAACCAAAGCCAGATAAAAACTTGTGATGAAAGGAAATTCAGCATCAGCTTAGCAATATTTCTGCTGTTTGAATCCTCCCCCCCCCCCCCCCGCGTTTATGTCGGAATCCATGAGAAGCAAGTTGTGGGGAGCATTTTCGTGCACACCATGTCGGGATTTTGCTTTGTGGCAAAAACATAGTGTCTTAGATTTGCATAAGATCACTGCTGCTTGACTGTTCTCACTCTTTTTGATAGAAGGGTGCCGGGCACGAACAATGTTCATAGGTGTACTTGCAGTTACGGGGCCCACAATAGGGCAGGTGATTGTTGGAGTGTTCCCTTTAACAGTGGACGGTACTGTACATCTCTAGAAGGCGGCAATGCTGCACGATACCTGTGGTGGTACCTAAACAATGTCACATTTAAGGTAAATTTAAAATAAAGCAATTGTTCTTTTGCTGTTTCACAAAACAAAACAAGGCCATTAACCACATTTCATAAGGTTGTCTGTAATGCCTTCTTGAGGTAAACGCCGATGTTTCATTCGACATCTTAAAAGTTTCAACGAAATGAAGGAGCATAGCGCACATTGTGTTCAACAGTGGGGCGGCTGCATACGTTAAGTTTATTTCGGGGTGATGTAAGCGGCCAAATTGGCAGCGACTAAAAGCTGTAGGCAATTATTTTTTTCTTACTTCGACAGCTTGCACTGGTGTTGCCATGACCCCGTCAGCCCTGGAATATTCAACTTTTTCAAAGCAGGACTCAGTTTCGCTGGAACAGGGGACACTACCTTCTATGAATGTGTCTGTGCGAAGGTGTGTCTGTGCAAAGGTGTGTCTGTGTAAAGGCGCTAGGCAATAGGGTTTCCACTTTCCCACAAATGCCAGTGAATAGCACACCATACTTTGCTATCACAATTTACAAAGAAGTGCAATATATCCTTCATGTTTGTTTGTTTTGTTTTTCACAGGATTACAATTTTATATAAACAAATTATTACTAAGCAAGCAATACAGGTGAAATAAAAAAATAACATGTTAGACAAAAGTAATAATTCCTAATGTATCGTTAAGTATGATACATTGCCTTTAATACGAAATTTTCTTTTTTTTCGCAAAATAACAGTCTTAGTGACATCGCTTCATTAACGATCTTCGATCGACGCAAATGATCATGATAAATTGTGATCACTGCATTGTACACGATTTATGCAGTGATATTACTAAGCACGGATCATTTCGTGGTTTAAAGAACCTCGCAAAGCGTTTTGCATGCAAGGTGTTCGGGCATCGAGCGCGAGACAAGTGCTTATGCTATGGGCACTTCAACCTGGCTCATAAGTCGGGGAAAATCTTTTCCATTAAGATGAGCAGCTGCACCAATAGGTACATGTCAAATCATTCACAAAATCACCAGATGACTACAATTCAATTTATAATGCATACACGACTGCATATTTTCATCACCTGGTTTGTTTACTTTTGTACTGTGTTGCTCTAGCAGGTTTTGTTGGTTTTTTTTTTTTTTTTCTTGCGCCATGTCAGCACGTACACAACTCATGTAGGCGGGCAGCACATATTGTAAAAGACGACCAGGATTCCCACGTTGCGACACCTAAATAACACGCAGGCGCACACGTCGCAACACTTATGCCACAGATTTTGCGGGCGGCAAATCACAGACTCGCACATTCCGATTTCACAGTCACCTTGCCGCACAGAAATGACCACGATGACAATAGTCGAGAACAGTCACCCCCAAGCGATGTACTTGGTGCATCCAAGCGACAGAGGGAGTAGATGACATGTTGCTGCTTCTCCCCTTTCTAAATGACATAACGCGATAAAGCTCTACCGCTTCCTTGCCCTTCAAACTCTGTGAAACCAGAGACATCTGCATGGAATAAAGACCGGCGAGGATGACTGAGACTGCAAGTGGATAACAGTAGGAAATGGCTTCTTCTTGATGAAGAAAACACCACAGGAGAATCCAATCAACCCCTGCCGGTCTCGGTGCAGTTGCACATCGCCTCCCATCAGGAAAAGCGTTATGTTGAACTTGTCAGTGGTTCATCGTAACTGTTACAGCATAGTTAAGTGAGGCCGCAGATGGACGCGCATAATACACACAGCGGTACACTTAACTTACTAATCGTAGCTTGACACAGACAATAGCTGCGTCCGTCGTCTGTAAGGCTGTTCTGGCTTACAGACGTAAACCCACACCAGCGCATTTTGGACCAGCCGCGTTCAACTGCTCAGCTCATGAGCGAGGGCATGTGGCACATCTTGTTCATGTTAGTTCTATTTCTCGTGGCGACGTTCATCTTTACACGCAACCTGTTTGTCTTTACCCTCTGTATCTTCACTTGAACCGCTCTAATATGGGACGACAATGACATGCATGAAGTGCACTCATATGGGAACAACCTAGAGGACGACGAATCCAGCTGAGCGTGTTTTTCAGGTATTCACTCTTTCTCACCCTCTTTGCAAATAAAAAAAGGTCACCCACACTGTTTCCTTTTGGCGCATCATGTTCGAATCCGTCCGCGAGCACAACTCTCCAAATGTAGGTGCAAGAAGTTGACAATTTCAAGCATCTCGGATAATCAAAAAACCAGGTGTCTTCTTGTGGCGAGAGCAGTTCTGTCGGTATCACGAAATCGGAATTTAGTAATAACAGAAAAATCGTCTTTCTATTCAGTCTCTCTCTAAGGTGATATACGCAATGAAATGAATTAGAGTGTACTTACATCGTCGTTGTGACTTCGTTGGACCTTGTTCAGGTGAGCACGCATGTGCTTCGCTATCACCAAGCGGTCCAAAAACCTACTCGGGCAAAGGGAGCATTTGTACACCGTGGTGGCCAGGTGGCTGCGAGCCTGCGAGTCGCCTTTCTCACTCGAGCCGAGGTATCTCTCGACCTCTTGCGTCCTCGCACGGCACAGACGGCTGTGCTGGTGAATGTCCACCTTCCCAACGAATGCGCCCCCACAACAGTTGCAAACAAACGGCTTCACAGGCATGTGGTGGCGCTGAATGTGGCGCAATATAGTCCACTGCTTGCCAAACGTGTGACCACACAGTGGGCAGTTTTCCGTGCCTTTCTTCATGTGAGCGGCTAGGTGGTCCCGTGTTGCGCCCCAGCTCCTGCAGGGCTCCATACACAGGCCGCACTGGAACGGCTCTGGCCATGGGCACACCAGTACGTGCGAGAACAGGAGATCGACCTCCTCGAAACTTCGCGAGCAAACGCCGCAGCCGTATGCACTAACCACAAAACACACATTTCCAAAGGAAGGGTTTTCTCTCTTAATGTTGCACGATGGGTCAGCAGTCATCTTGATTCGACAGTCACCTTCCGTTGTGCCGTGAACGTTTGCATGTCCGGCTCCTGTTGAATTTGTCGACACTGAAGGCACTGCCAAAATAAAACAGAAAGTTTAGCGCACCACACAGCGAAAATAGTTAATAAATGTGAAACCTTAGGTAGCACACATGAAGGAAGCACATAGTTATGTTCATCTAATACACTCAAACCTCATTATAACAAAGTGGTACCTTACAAGAAACTAAGTTTGTTATATCCGAAAAATTCATTATAAGGGTTATTCTCAATACTGTATCTGCTGCAAGACTATTTTGCACATACTTCAATATAACCCTTTCATTATATTTGTGTTCATTATACCGAGGTTTGAGTAACCGAATGTAACACTATTCCCAACAAGACATTCGCTCACTCACAGAGCTTCTAAAACAAGACACAACTGTACTTGCTGTCATATACCTGGCTTGCCGCAAGAATGGACAAATAGGACGTCACTAGATCTGCAAATTTTACGAGACATATACAGGCCAGGCTGATGGCAACTGCCAGACTAACTGCGCAGGCGGAATTCTTGCAGTGCGCTGTATGTTACAACATATTCAGAAGGAAAATTATTATCATGTTCATGGTCTGTGTATCTGAGATGTCTGGAAACCCGCAAAAACTGCACTATGCAGCTTCCCCTGAACAGCCTGCAGTTTTATCTTACTCCATATTTCAATACCCGCATGCTAAGATAGCTTATACCAAAATCAATATTTTAGAAGTTCAAAAAGAAGACTATTAAATGAAACTGCAAAACTTTTTTTTTTTTCCTTCTATTGAAATCTTTAGATATTCACTTGTTTTCACTCATGATACACAAGGAACTAGCAGTGGAAAAAGTGAACTGCTAGCCCATGTTTCATTTTACAGTGAAAGTCGTTATGAGATCACAACACGGGTCCCCTGCGTGCCAGCGCAGTATTCTACCACTGAATCACTCCGGTGCTTAAAACTCCCTTGCAAAATGACCCTAGGGAGGCTTGATGTCGGGAAAGGAATCACATTATTATGAGTAATAAAGTGTTTTAGAACAGCCAATGAACAAACATGCGTCAAACAATGCGAACTGTGTAAGGAGAGGGTCGTCGAATGCTCCAGTCCATTACTAAAGCTTCAGGCATAATTCTTCATTGTAGTCATCAGCCACAGCACAAGAAAAAATTGCACAAAGTTCCTTGCAAGTGTGCAGAAGCTATCACACTTCTCCGAAGAATGACGAAGGATGGCATAGCGAATGCCTGCCTATTACACAATGATTAATGGCATAGTGGGGCATACCCTGCAAATGTGTTTTCAGCAGCTGCTCAAGGAGCGTTCAAAAAGGCTCCTAAAGGCCGCTCGTCTAGCTTTCGCTGTGACAGTGCAGCACGTTCAGCGCAGGCCTGGCAGATTTTGTCGTCCCAATGTTTCATGATGGTAACATTCATGTTTCAATGAAGATACATAAATCATTTCAAAATTAGGCCTAAGTTGACACTGCCTCTTAATTGTCACATGATACCCATGGAACATGGGCACTCTTGAACGACCATCCAGTCAATGGACATATAAACATCTATTGACTCAATGGAGTTGCAGTGCTAGCTGCTAGGCGACAGTTCTAAACAGCTGCTGAGTGGTTCGGTTATTTCTTGCAATAATTGTGTAGGACTATTGGCTGGTGCACACCCGTGACTAGCCGCGGTCGTGCGACCATTTGCGACTGGCGACCAAATTGGGAGGGACGTTCACACCAGCAAAGCTGCATGCGAGCGAGCGGAAGTCGCAAACCCGGAGAGTCACGTACAGATCTCGTTATGAGCGAGAACTTTGGTGACCGGCGGCGATCAGAGCCCGCTGTGTGCGACGCGCTTGTTTCCGACGGCTGTGTTTGCGTAGCGTTCTCCCGGCAGCATCATAGACTTCGAGACCATGATGCTGCCGGGAGAACGCTACGCAAACACAGCCGTCGGAAACAAGCGCGTCGCACACAGCGGGCTCTGATCGCCGCCGGTCACCAAAGTTCTCGCTCATAACGAGATCTGTACGTGACCTGTACGTGATGAAGAAGAGGTTGTGGCGGTGCTGATGTGCTCTGCCAACGTGTCAGCGCTGGCAGCACGAAAACCTTCACAGCAAAAAAAGGCGGTGGTGGCTGCGACTGTCCCTTCGCTCGCGAGAGGTGGCTGGCCACGCAGGTCGTTTGCTTCCCGACTTGCACTAGCACGACGAAGAGTATTTCCGAGAGTAAGTTTATGGTCGTTTTACGTGCTTATAAGATAGTGCATAACCTGTTATCTCGTTCTTTTTTTGGTGGTTAGCTTTATGCGGATGCCGCCACGAGCGTTCGACACTTTGCTTGAACTGCTGCACCCCGCAATATCCAAGCAGGACACAAACTACCGGCCTGCAATTTCGGCGCACAACCTCCTAGCTATGACCATTAGGTAAGAGCGTGAGGTTTGAAGATTAATATGTTGCAGCTTGCGGCTGCGCATCGCTTGTAAGGAAGTTTTGCTTGGGTGGGTAGAACTCATTGCATTTTTGACGTATGCGGGCTCGATGGTGCAGTCGTTACTGCGGTCGGCAGTTTACGCGTAGGTGACGAGTTTGATTACGGCCGCATCGATCGCCTTTAGGTGGAGGCGAAATGCATTTAGGTTGGCGCGTTTGTTGCGCACGTACCTTAAAATCACAGGTGGTGAAATTTTGGAAACCATCTGTTGTGGCTTATTGCGTAATCGCTACGTGGTTTCCGCTTGTAAAATCCCAGAAAATTGGATTCTGCGCTACACAATGACATTACTATTCGGACGTGTCCAGTTCCAGTTTTCTGTTTTCCTGATGCACAGATACTATATAGAGCGCAATTATTAATGATGTTATAAAATAAGTGAAACACAAGCCTAAGCTTAGCATGTACAATTATGCACAAATTGATAGGACAAATTGATGTGCTGTTCGAGGCACTCAGAGTATTCATGCCAAAAATATTTTTCAGCATCGGGGAGAGAGGAGGTTTAACCAACCACACTTTATGTATCTGCATGCACGACGGTGTGCGTGCGTTTGCACAAGTACACATGCGAAATTTTAACCCCTGCACCTTGCTACAATAATGCGTATGTTCTGTTAAATTGACAGTGACCCAATACCCTGTGGACAGTAGCGCAGTGGCAAAACGTATTGTTGATGGTAGTGCAATGTGTGAAAGCAATTTAAACAATAGACTTGAGGAATGTATGTTTCGTGAAATAGGTTCACCTTGAATTTACAGCTTTTCAGAAATCCATGCTGAGCGAATTGCTACATGGTACGTTTAGGTTGCCCATCTTCAACCTGAGTGATATGAGCACATATGCTCTTCCATGAAAAGATTGATGCATGCTTATGATTCGCCAAAATGTGTACGCACAGAAATATTCACTGCATATTCGACAGCTTACAGAGTTCACAAGCAGTGCAGTGAGATTCTGAATGTTAACTGTCCAGTCACCTGTAAAGTAATTATTAAAGATGCTCAATTAACAAAGAAAGCTCTATCTGAAAGGATTGCCTTCATAAGGACCGAGTAGTGTACCTAATGCATGCTAATTTCAGTGTATTGATTTATTTCATCGCTGCATCTCATTGCCTTGCCAGGTTTCTGGCGACAGGGGAAACCCAAAGGGACGTGGCCTTCAACTTCCTAGCAGGGAAGATCAACAGTTTCCTCCATAGTGTTGGAGGTCAGTGAGCCCCTTTGGCTTGTACTTCAGCCACTGTACCTCCATAACCCTTCAACAACAGATGAGTGGATGAAGGTATGACAGGCTAGTTTTTCCTGCATTTTTGCAGCAACGATCTTGATACATTGCTGGCTTGTGCTGCTTTGTGTGGTGTAATTGAAATGTAGCTAGGACAATACCAAAATAGCACACACTTCAGGACACTGCCTTTCAGGCATTGCACAATATATTGAACAGGCAAGGGCATAAAATCGCTATTTGATAGATTTGTGTATGCATTGGTGAGATTAGTTATCCTGTGTTCAGAGTGTGAAGATGGTTAACACACAACTCAATAGAAGCAGCTTTACTGGCAAAGTCTATACAACGCAACATAAAGGTAACACAGTCATTAAAGGAGTGAGTAACATTGCAACGTTTTTCACAAAAATTCTCATGGCTGATGTGTGAGAGTTTGGTTTCAACTGAGATATGACTTGAAAGAGTGAATGTGGCTTGCATGTGAGAAGTGCAATGCAAGCCCGATCAGCCTATGTCAACGCAAACATATTGTAGCAACACACTGGAAACACACCTTTACTGGAAGGAGAGAAATGAATGTTGAACTCAACTGGGAATTATGTGCTTATGTTTAGCTCATCGTAATCCTGACCCTCTCAACACAAGGGGAGCATATGAGGAATAATCATATGCAAAATACATTACACCACAGGCTTTATGTTCATTAGTACTCAATAACTTGCATATAATTGAAGTAAACATTCCGTTTCACTAGTAAATGCAGGTTACCTATCAGAGTTCATAGTAAAACCTGTAGGCAACCTGTTCGGCATAGCATCAGTGCCATAACCTCTGTCATATTGACTTAAGAGTCCCTTCAGGAGAGGCACATTTTTAGCTACATATGTTTTTTTGGCTGCAAAAAGTTTTGTGTACTTGAAGCAGCCAGATGTACATTTCGTAGCATTGACAACGTGTGTGAAGGCGATCATTTATGGGATTTTTTTTTTTTTGGCAGATTTCACAAGAATTTCACAAGAGGTGGAACATCCCTCACTGCCTCGGTGCTATAGATGGCAAGCACGTGACCATAGAGTGCCCTAAGAACTCCGGGTCTATGGACTTCAATTATAAGGGCTCATTCAGCAAGTCGCTGCTTGCTGTGTGTGATGCCCAATAAAGGCGATTCTGGGTTCTTGTATTGAAATGTGCACACTAGTAAGGATAGCATCAGCATTATGAGCCAAGGTGTTAACAATTTCATTAATGCACAAGGTAACAAGTGATATTCAAGAGGTTGAGTGATGTGTATGATTTTCCTTTGCCATGTCTACATGC